ATCAAATTGCAGGGAAACCCACCCGCCACTGCGCAGTTAACCAGCTTACAAATGCTCTGGTGCTCCTTGGAGATGTTATAAATGTCTTGAAACACAGCATTAATGGGTAGACCTGAGATATCTGGTGGTTGTCTGTATTGGAAAGCCTACGGTTCTCCACCTCTCAACATTTCACGTTAAATGATGTGCTTTTATACACTCTTACCTTTTATAGATTTGTTTTTCAAGTCTTTGTTTTTGTTTTAATTAACACTTATCTCACTTATTACTGACTCTTTGACTTTGTAGCACGTTACGATTATTCGCCGTCTGTAGATGTCTTGCTCTCCATGACCTGTATGCTTCATGGTGACTTTATAAGTTAAAACGTAACAAATGTGCTCTCGTCTTCATTTAAGAGACGAGTTTTTTTTAAAACTACATGTTACAACACTTGTTTTCAGTGTTTTTAATAACTTTTTCTGATGAACATTTGTCTCTTGGATCAATAAAAAAAAATTAAAAATAAGTTTATTTTGTGTGTGAAGATCAAAGCATTCAAACCAATGTAAATACAAAATGCTGATTTTAATGCTGATTTCATTTATTATTGGGAAAGACAGCTATTTAAACCCACTTAATGAAAAACTAATTGCCCCATAAACCTAATAACTAGTTGTTCCACTCTTGGCAGCAAGAACTGCAATCAAGCCTTTGTGACAGCAGGCAATGAGGTTTTTAGATGACAGTGGAGGAACTCTTGTTTGTATAATTAATTTAATTCAGCCACATTGGAGGAGTTTTGAGTATGAACAGACTGTTTAAGGTCAAAACATCGCAAACTGATGCTTTTTAATATTTGGGTCATTCAGAGGTGGACTTGCTGATGTGTTTTCCTGGTACAGAGCAGAATTCATTGTTCCATTAATTACAGCAAAGCAGCCCCAGACCGTCACACTACCACCACCATGTTTGGTATGATGTTATCTTTATGATGCCCTGTGCTTGTTTTATGCTGGATGTAAAGGGACTTAAACCTTCCAAAAACTCTTGTCAGTCCACAGAATATTTTGCTGTTGACAGATGTAAGACGATCCTTTGTGTTCTTTTTAGTCAGCAGCGGTTTTCTCCTTGGAGCTCTCCAATGGATGCCATTTTTGCCGAGTCTGTTTCTTATTGCATCGTGAACACTGACCTGCACTGACACTGTAATTCTCTCATCACCCACAATCAGTCATGACACATGGTTGCCCCTCCCTGAGCCTGGATCTGCTGGAGGTTTCTTCCTGTTAAATTTGAGTTTTTCTTTCCCACTGTTGCCAAGTGCTTGTTCATAGGGTGTTTTTTTTTTTATTGTTGAGGTCTCTATTATCTGAGGGTCTTTACCTTACAATATAAAGTGCCTTAAGGTGACCTGTGATTTGGCAGTACATAAATAGAATAGAATGGAGCTCAATGAAAGTGAGGTTTGCAGTTCTTTTTGTGTTTTTTGTGACCACCTGGAAAAGTCATTGATGTGTTTTTGGAGTAATTTTGGAAGGCCACCACTGTTCCAAGTTTTCTCCATTTGTGGATAATGTCTCTCGCCCTGATT